CCGTCTTCTGGGCTTCTTGGACCATCTTGGAGCTCTCTTCGGCAGTCTAAGGGCGCTCTTGGAAGCTTCGGAGCCTCTTAGACCGTCTCGGGATCATCTCCTCTTTGGGCGTCTTGGGCGGTCATAGGATCGAAAAGGCGAGAACGCGGAGGCGCTTCAAAAACTTGTTGGAAAACATCAGTTTTTGCTAGTGGGACCCCTTTGACAGGACCGCTTGGAGCCCTCTCAGGCCGAATCGGGGAGCTTCGGGCCGTTGAGACCCCCCCTCCTTACTACAGCCTGCTAGCCCATTGTCCTGCCTTTCTTTGCCCGGGCCTTTTCGAGCGTTTCACACGGCCAAGGCCACCTGGCGCTCGCAATCTCGCCCGCCAGGGTCCGTCGAATACTTGACGTGCCTCTTTTCCCCATCGGGCCATTCAGCGACGCTTCTTGAGCGAGATGCCTTGGCTGGGGAAGTGCAGGCACACAGCGGGGGACCTTGGCCAGGGGTCCCCCTGGCCGCTGCCTGGAGCATCATATGTGGAGCCAGGGCCCCCTGACCAGGACTGGCAGGTTCCCTGGCCAGAAACTAACACTGCCCCCATGCCAGCCGAAGATCGTCCCCAGAAGGCGCTGGGAAGGCGGCCCGACTGCACCGAAACACTGTTCCACAATGTTCCAAGACCGCCCCAGCGGCTCCCAAGACCCAAGACCCAAAACACCCCAAGAGCGGCCCTGGATAGTTTTTGACGAGGCCCCTGAGTAGCCCAAATCAGAAGCTTTCCGCAGGTTTTGAACATTATTGCGAAGGCCTTACGGCCGGTGCCGCCGACCCTGAGAACGACGAAGATAAAAACGAGTGGGGAGCAGGGGGAGGAGGATGAGTGGGAGGTGGAGGAAGGGTGGAGGAGGTGGATGAGTGAGGTAGGAGGAGGGGGGAGAAGGAAGAACAATCCGTAAGGGCTTCGCCCCCTGCCGCCGGCCCCCTCTCTCGGAGAATGGGGCATGGAAGAGCGAAGTCATGAGGCTTTGGCTTCACCATGAAGCAGCGTCGGAACTTCATGCGAAGACGATGGGTAATTGGCAAGACGAATGGAGATTGCGAGTCTATTGTTGTACTCGCTGTTGTATTTTCCATTTGCTCCCGTATGCTGTGCCCAAATCTTCTCCCCGAGTTTGAAAATGTTGGAAGTCTCTTGTGTCCTGACCGCGCGGAAGTGCGTGAGGAGTGCCCCAGAAATTCAGACATGTGGCATCTTCCGTGCGTTTTGGACCCTGACCCCGCCGATCTGCGTGAGGGGTGCCACCAAATTTCGGAAATGTGGCAAATCCCTTGTGTTTTTAGACCCTGACCCCGCCGATCTGTGTGAGGGGTGCCACCGAATTCTAAAACATGTTGCAAATCCCATGTGTTTTTGGACCCTGACCCTGTCGATCCGCGTGAGGGGTGCCACCGAATTTCAGAAATGTTGAGAATCCCGTAGGTTTTCGCACCCTGATCCCGCCGATCTGCGTAAGGGGTGCCACCAAATTTCAGAAATGTGGCAAGTCCCATGTGTTTTTAGACCCTGACCCCTGCGTGAGGGGTGTCACCGAATTTTGAAAATCTGGCAAATCCCATGTGTTTTTGGACCCTGACCCCGCCGATCTGCGTGAGGGTGGCCAACGAATTTCAAAAATGGTGCAAATCCTATGTGTTTTTGCACCCTGACCCCACCGATCTGCGTAAGGGGTGCCACCAAATTTTAAAACATGTTGCACATCCCTTGTGTTTTTTGACCCTGACCCCGCCGATCTGCATGAGGGGTGCCATCGAATTTCGGAAATGTGGCAAATCCTATGTGTTTTTGGACCCTGACCCCGCCGATCTGCGTGAGGGGTGCTACCGAATTTTAGGAGTGTGGCAAATCCCATGTGTTTTTGGACCCTGACCCCGCCGATATGCGTGAGGGGTGTAAATTTTTACCCACCCCAGCAATTCAGACAACACGCTCAGGGCGTGGTAAAAGTGCCTGTTTTGGGCCTCCCCCCTTGCGCGGTCCATCAACAAGGAACAGTAAAGCAGCAAGAAGTCAACAAGGAACAGTAAGCAGCAATGTAACAGTGGGAACTGGAAGCTGCAATTGGTACAAGAAACTGCGAAGTTTCGGCCTACAGCCTGGTGGCCCCACCAGGAGGCCGGCGGATCTTTTTTTCCGCGCGGCTCCTGGCCCGGCCGACGCCATCCGAAGACATCGTGAAGACCTGCGTCGGACGACTTGGGGTTTCTTGGGGCGCTGGACGCCGTGTTCTACGACATCTTGGGCGTCTTGGGGGCTTCTCGGTCGTGTTGGGCTCCCTTGGGGCGGTGTAAGGGGTGTCCTACTGGCCTTTTGAGCCGTAGTGGGCTCTTGGAAGGCCGAACTGGAACAAAAGCCGATACGGGTCAGAAATACAAAAACAAGAAATTTGGCGTCTTCGGGCATTCCTGGAGACCCTCCTGGATAACATTTGCGTCGTCTTGGAGGCCGCTTGGGAGCGCGCCGTCTTGGGTGTATTTGGGCCGTCGTGGAAACATGTTGCAGCCATCTTTGGCTCTTTTGGGGCCTTCGTGTCCCTCTTGGAGACTCTTTGAAAGCCATTTTAGGGGAATCTTGGCCGGCTTGGCGGCCATCTGGCAGGTCTTGGAGCCGTCTTTGTGGCCGTTTTGGGGCCTTCTCGGGCTGTCTTGGGGCCATCGTGGAGGCGTCTTGGGGGCTCCTGGGTCAATCTCGGGGGCTTCTTGCACTGTCTTGAAGGCGTCTCGGGGCAATCTTCGCTCGTCCAGAGGCCTGTTTGAGCTCCGGGACCCATCCCTGAAGGGAAACGACGACGGCGGCGGCGGCGGTAGCGACGACGACGCTGATGTGGGTTGAGTCCTCAGGGGTGTTTCTTCGGGTCTCTTCCGAGCGCTCTCGAAGGCCTCTGCAGGGCAGTTTGGGGGCCCCTTGGGAGCCTCTTGGGGTCTCTTGGGGCTTCTTCGGGGCCTCTTGGGGGCCTCTTAGGGCTGAGGGCTTGAAATGCCCGTTCGGGTCCCCCGTCTGGGCACTCTCCTGGAGCCGTCTTGGGGGCCTCCTGGGCCGTCTTGGAGGCGTCTTGGGCCGTCTTGGGGCCCTCTCTGGCCGTTAGGGGACCCTCCTGGGGGTCTCTTGGGCCGTCTCTGGGCGATCTTGGGGGCCTTTTGGGCCGTCTTGGCGCGTCGGGAAGCGGAAGAGGCAAGAACGTCAAAATTTGTCAAAAACGTAAAGGGGAAATGCATGATTTGTGCCTTTTAGGGCTCTCGTGGGAAAGCTCCTGGAGGCCTCTTGGGGCGCTTTGCAGGCCTCTTGGGCCGTCTGGAGGCCGTCAAAGCGTCTTGGACAGATCGTTCTGCGATTCGGGGTTCTCTTGGACTGTCTTTGGGGCCTCTTGGGGCACTCTTGGCCCGTCTTGGGGCTTCTTTGGGCTCCGGGACTCACTCCCCGGGTGGCGTCGTTTCTGACCCCACCCCCCCTCCCGGACCCCCCCCCCCTCCCCGCGACCCCCCGCCCCCTGGGACCCCTCCCGGGACTCCCCTCCCCCCCCCGGCGGGGGAGGGATCGGAGGGAAGGGCCTTCCTTTCGACTCAATTTAGACGTTGCTCAGCTTCGCTTTGGCTGGCGCGCTGAGGAGGTCCCTGGGAAAGGGGGGAGCTTCGACGAGCCCAGGGAAAGGGGGGAGAAAGGGAATGCGGACGACAGAGACGACGACCAACGAATGACGGAGATGACGACTTGAACGGAAAAGCCCCTCACACACGCCAACAGGGGCGGCGGATTTTCGCATTCTCGCGTTTTCTTTCCCAAGATTGGCCCCAGACGAGCCCAAATGGCCGTAGGATTGCCCAAGCGTGGCCCAAATTAGTCCGGAACGACCCAAGATGGCGCTGAGAGATTGTTGCACGTTAATTATGTTGGTCCAGCTTGGGCTCAATGATACTATCTTGGACGCCACCGTGGGTCATGTCGTTTGCCCATCTTGAGCGCACGTTGGCACTCCGACTGCCACCACCCCCACACCCCCTTGGCTCTAGACCCGTGTGACGGGCAAGGGCCGGGGCAAGCTCCTTCCCGAGGGGAAGGACTGGAGTTTGAATGAGTTGCCCCCCTGAACCCCACCGGCGCCCGGATGGCTGGTGTGGTTTAGGTTTTCGCGTGATGCGCCCTCACCGTCATGCCTCCGAGTGCCAAAGTCGATCCCTCGCTTGAGGTTTGCTTGCAGCGTGCAGGGCTAGCGATCAAACTCTCCAACACCCCCGCACGGGCCGAGGGCGGGCGCGATCCGTTTGCCTGATTCGCGCTGGCAGTGCGAGGAGGGCGAAGATGCTGGAGTGCTGGATGAGGGGGAGGAGTTGCAGGAGGAGGAGGAGGAGGAGGAGGAGGACTGAGGAGGAGGAGGACGGCGCCCGCCCCTCCCACGTCTACTTTTGTTTCCTCTTCGATGTAGCGATGCCAACGGTTGTACCTTACGGCGCCGTCGATCGGTCGATCTTTCGGTTCCTCCCGCACCCCTCGCCCCGCCATCCCCCGTCGCGCCGAGGAGCGGGGCGCTCGACGCCTGATCTTCGTGCCGTCTTCCCAGGGGCCCTGGCTCGCTGTGGACTCGCCGCCCAGCCTTGCACGGCGTGTGCTGGGGCAGCCCCCTCCGGGCTTGAGTGTGAACCGACATCTCAAAGCCTGAACATGGATTTCGGAGCTCCGCGCGGAGTTCTTAGATCGGCGCTGGACCCCCCTCCCTTGCGGAGCGTGCCAGGGGCGGCGCCAGAGGCGCTGCCAGGGGAGTCCAACGCCGATCCATAAACCCGCGCGGATTTTACAACATGTAGGTTTACGTATTAGTTCTTCGTTGTTTGGAGACGGAGGAGTCCGACAACGGGGCCAAATTCTTGTTTTTTTAATGTTTTTCATTTTGGGCCTGCCGGCGAAAGGAAGCGGATTCCCGCCGCCGCTGCTGCCGCTGCTGCTCCTCCTGCCGCACAAGCCGAGGCTGGAGCGAGACGAGGACGTCGGAGCGCTCATGCAGTGCATGCGGCGCTGCGCCGTCTTGGTGGAGCGGCTGGAGCGAAAGCGCCCTGGCCATCCGAAAGCGGTTGCGGAACACATGCGCATGTGCATGTGTGCATGCGTGTAAGTCAGGAAGTGAGTAAGTAAGTGTGTCTGTCTGTCTGCCTGTCTGTTTGTCTGTCAGTCTGTCTGTCTGTCTGTCTGTCAGTCTGTTTGTCAATCAGTCTGCTTGTCTGTATGTACGTATGCCTGTATGTCTGTGTATCTCCGAATGTCTGTCTGCAAGTATGTATGTATGGATGTATGTTTGGATGCATGTATGTATGCGTGTATGCTTGTTTGTCTGTATGCTTGTTTGCGTACATGTATGTCTGTGTGTTCGTTTGTATGTATATATGCATGCATGCATATCCGTATGTATGTAAGTATGTATGGATGCGTAAGTGTATGCATGTGTGCATGTACGTATGTACGTATGTATGGATATATGTGTGTATGTGTGCAGATATGGATGCATGTATGTTTGTATGTATGCTTGTGTATGTGTGCATGCATGTTCGCATGTATGCATGCATGCATGTGTGCATGCATGCACGCATGTGTGCATGCTTGGTCGTCTGACTGTATGATTGTTAATGTGTATGCATGTATGTATGTATGCATGTATGCATGCATGCATGTATGCATGCATGGTTGTATGTATGCATGTATGCATGTATGTATGTATGTGTGTATGAACGTATGTATTTGTACTATGTATGTGCGTGGATGCATGTATGTGTATGTATGCATGCATGCATGCGTGTATGCATGTATGCATACATGTATGGATGCATGCATGCATGTATACATGTATGTGTGTATGTAAGTAGGTGGAACATGTATGTATATATGCACATGTGTTTGTCGGTATGGTTTTATGCATGCACGTGTGTATATATATATATATATATATATATGTATATATATGTGCTTGCCCCCACATGATCATACATATTATCCCCTCCCTCATCTGCTCCCTGCTCTCCGTCGCACTTCCTCATCCTCTTATCCTCCTTCAGCGGGGTGCGTTGGGGCCTGTCCCGTCAGCTGCTCCTCTCCTTGGGCGGCAAGGGCAAAACGATCGAGTGATCGGCGTTATATTTTCTCTCGCTTGCAAGCTTGCTTTCAGTCACTGCCTTGATGAGCGTGCCATCCATCCATCCATCAGCGGGGCAGTGCAACCTCGGGCTGAGGGCGGCGGCGGGGCACTGCAACCTCGGGCTGAGGGCGGCACGCTTTTCAGTATTCTCTCGCGCTGGATCCCCGTCCCTCTATACCCTCAGGAGGGGAATGATGATGAGGAGGAGGGGGATCAGGAGAGTGAAGAACTCGATAATATGAGCGAGCAGGAAGAGGAGCTAGATAAGACGAGTGCGATCCCGACGATGATGACGAGGATGGTGATGACGATGATGATGATGACGATGATGATGATGCTGATGATGACGATGACGATGATGATGGTGATGATGATGATGAGCAGGACTGCAGAGGATGAGGAATTGAACGCGCTGAGAAAGGGATCCTCTTGCACAGGCTCCCAATAGGAACCCATTGTGCACAGGCTCTCAACAGGAATCCTTTTGCACAGGCTCTCAATAGGAAGCCATGTGTATTGCGTTTCGATAATATTTTTTTGTATTCGCTTTCAATCGGACTCCTTTTTGCAGAGGCTCTCACTAGGAATCCTTATGTAGAGGCTTTCAATAGGAATCGTTGCGAAGAGGCTCTCAATAGGAAACCTTTTGTAAGGGCTCTAAATGAGAATCCTCATGTGGAGGCTCTCAACAGGAATCATGTTGCACCGGCTCTCAATAGTAATGCAGTAGTCTTGTGTTTCAGTCGGGATCATTTTTTGTATTGGCTCTCACTCGGAAGTTTTTTTTGTAGAGGCTCTCAATAGGAATCCTTCTGTAGAGGCTCTCAGTAGGAATCGTTTTGTAGAGGCTCCCATTAGGAATCATTTTGTGGAGGCTCTCACTAGGATTCTTTTTGTGGAGGCTCTCAGTAGGAATCCTTATGTAGAGGCTCTCAATGAGAATTTGTTCGTTGAGGTTGTCAACATGAATGGTTTTGCACAGGCTTTCAATAGGAAGCCATTTGTATTGCGTTTCAATAGAAATCCTTTTGTATGAGCTTTCAATGGGAATTCTTTTTGTAAGAAGCTCTCATACGGAATATTTGTGTGGGGCTTTCAACAGGAATCATGTTTTAGAGACTCTCAATGGGAATCTTGTCGTGGAGGGTCTGAACAGGAATATTTTTGCACAGGTTTTCAACAGGAAACCATGTGTATTGACTTCCAGCAGCATTCATTTTTTATTAGCTTTCAATAGGAATCCTTTAGAGGCTATCAATAGGAATCCTTTTTGTAAAAGGCTTCCACCAGGAATCCTTTTCGTAGAGGCTCTGAATAGGAATCCTTTTCGTAGAGGCTCTCAATGGGATTTTTGTGTGGAGGTTCTCAACAGGAATCCTTGTGTACAGGCTCTCAATAGGAATACATGTGTATTGGTTTTCAATGGGGAACTTTTTGTAAAAGGCTTTCGTTCGGATCCTTTCGTCGAGGCTCTCAGCAGGAAGCCTTTTGCACAGGCTCCCAAGAGAAATCCATGTGTATTGGGTTTCAATGAAGCATCCTTTTGTAGAGGCTTTCAACAGTTATAGGTCTCTCAATAGGAATCAGGTTGCAGAGGCTCTCAATAGGAATTCATGTGCACTGCGTCACAATAGTAATCATCTTGTATTGGCTTTCAATGGGGACCCTTTATGTAGAGGCTCTCACTCGGAATCCTTGTGTAAAAGCTTTCAATCGGAATCTTGGTGTAAAGGCTTTCGATAGGAATCCTTTTTTCGTAGAGGTTCTGAATAGGAATCATTTTGTCGAGGATCTCAGCAGACATCCTTTTGCACAGGCTTTCAATAGGAATCCATATGTATTGGGTTTCAGTAGGAGTCGTTTTGAATTGGCTTTGAATCGGGATCCTTCTTGTTGAGTCTCTCACTAGGAATCATGCTGCATAGGCTCTCAATAGGAATCGTTGGGTAGAGGCTCTCAATAGGAATCCTTTTGTAGATGCTCTCAATAAGAATCCTTTTTTGCAGAGGCTCTCACTAGGAATCCTTTTGTAGAGGCTCTCACTAGGAATCCTTTTGTGGAGGCTCTCATTAGGAATCCTTTTGTAGAGGCTCTCAATCGTAATCCTTGTGTAGAGGCCTCAATAGGAATCATGATGTAGAGGCCAACGCGACGTGAAAAAACAAAAACAAACACAAGGAAATACAAACCAAACCAAAGACACCAAAGCCTTAAGACGGGAAAACTAAAAAGCCGTCTTGCAAGCCGTCTTGCCCGCTAAACGGTCGATGCCGACCACCCGCCCGAAGGGCTTGCGCGATGAGACAGAACGCCGTTTGAAAGTACAGCAAAACAGTAACTGCGACAGGAGGAGGACGAGGAGGGGGAGGAGGGGGAGGAGAGAGGAGGGGGAGGAGGAGGGAGGGGGGAGGAGGAGGGCGAGGAGGGGGGGGGGAGGCGGAGTGGGAGGAGGAGTCAACGAAAACGCCTGAGAGAACCAAAACAACAAACAAACAAACAACACATATGATTTCGGGAACACTTCTGGGGAGTGGGGGGGGGGGGGCAAGGTTCTCCCGAAATCCTATTTTTTTGATTTATTTGTTTTTTTTTGGTTGTTCCAAGGGGGTTCGCTGTTTTTCGCAATACCGATCATTTCTCGCAGGTTTTCGAAGGCGTTCGAAGAGGAGGGGGAGGAGGAGGAGGAAGAGGAGGAGGAGGAGGAGCGACGACGAGCAAGAAGCCATATACTAATAACATGTATGATCATGTTTGGGGGGGGCTAGTATATATATATATATATATATATATATATATATACATGTATACATATATACATATATACACATGTATAAATATATATATATATACATATATACATATATCTACATATATAAATATATATATATGTATGCGGGCCTCGGGTCCGTAGCACACCAAGCGCACCCAGGGTACACTGAGTTCCCGTCCCCTCGGGGGCCTCAGGAGCCCTCCTGGAGCTGCCCTGGCCACCCCATAGAACCTACCGAGAAATCCCAGCGGAGCCTAGGTTTCCGGGCGTCCCCAGGTGGATTCCAGACAGCCCAAGGTGACTTCAAAACGGTTTCAGATGCCTCCCCCACCCCATGATGGCTCCGAGAGAATCCCCCCGACGGGCCCCGCGATGCAAACATCGCCCCATTCTTTAACGGAGACGTCGATGTCTAGCTTATTATCTCTTTGGGTCCGAGCTGCGTCCAAGACGGTCGACGACGGCCCCCAAGACCGCTCCAAGACGGCTGAAGAGGCCCAAAGAGGGCCCCGAGACGGCGCTCTCCTGGAGACTCCAAGCAGCAAGTCAGAGGCCCCCCCCGTGTCTCGGAGAGCTATTGGGCAGACTGCTGCTCGAGGGGCTCTTTCTCATTGCCCTCCTCCTGGGCGCAGCATAGGAGGCGGACGCGCGGTGATCCGCCCGACCACTGGGCAGCTGCCTCGGGGGTGAGTTAGTTGGCACCTCCTCGAGACAGCGGCGTCCTCGAAGCCGCTCAGCAGCGTCTGCGCCAGACGTGAAGGGGAGGACACAGAAGCATGCAACGCATGCACTCAATGACGACCATCATTGTCCTCCTCATCCTGCTCCTCGCGCTCCGTGGACTCCCGTGTGCGCCTCGTGGGCGCGTCATGCGTCGGCGAAGGGGTCCGGAATTTTCCGCCCGAGGCTTGCACCGCATGCGTGGCACCGCACAGTTGGACCACGTGGTTTTCTCACCCAAACAAGCCTCACAGACTTAAAGACTCCTGACGAGTGAGGTTCACCACGTGTATCCTCCTTTCTAAAACAAATTCTACCATCCCTCCGCGCCCGACCACAGGGTTAACGGTCCACCCGTTTGCACGGTCATTTGCACAAGATGTCGTTCCACCGCTCGTTTCCTATACGAAAGCATACCACCCCGCCCAGACCAGAATTCGTATTCCTCGCCACCCATGTCAAATAACACGAAGGGCGCACCTTGAGAAGATCATGTTCCAATTATCCCTTTCAACCACTACCACCAAATCCACACGCGCGCGCACATGTCGAATGTCAAACACATTAGTTTAGCAAGAGCTTCAACCTCACATGTTTATGCACCTATGGGTGTCCATAAAGTATATGACAGATGTTCTGCCCGTGCGGGCTTAACGAATCACGCAATCCCGTTCTGCCCGCGCGGGAAAACCGATGATGTTTCTAAAGATGTTGCCCACATCCCGCATTATGATGCTACCACGCGCTGCATCCGTGCCACTGCCCGAGTCCGAATCACATAGCACCATGCAAGCCACGCACGCCAGAGACGCCACTTAACAGAGGCTCCCAAGATTTCAGATTGACGCGACAAGCTCGTAACACCAGGTCTCCCAAGAGCGATCGGTGACGCAAACAACTTTTAACACCAAGGCTCCCAAACGCAAGCGGTGACGTGACAAGCTTTGCACACCAGATTCTCAAGAGTCCAGATTGACGTGACAAGGTCTGAACACCAACGCTCCCAAGAGCGAACGGTGGTATAACAAGTTCTGAACACCAAGGCTCCCAATCGCTCACAGTGACGTGACAGGCTCTTAACACCAAGGCTCCCAAAGGCGAGTTGTCACGTAAACAATTCTGAGTACCCAGGCTCCCACGAGCAAGCAGTGATGCAGAAAGCTCTTCGCACCAAGGCCCCCAAGAGCGAATGGTGCCATGAGCTACCTCGGGCAAGTTTCTGAAGCGCTCTTTCCGCTCCCGTTGCAGCCCAGGTGTACGTGCGTTGATCGAACAGTTGCGCTTTGCCAGCATCCCGACCAAATAACTCCCTGCGGGCCGCATGCGTGCACCCCCGCGCGCGCATGTCAAACACGTCCAACAATCGATGCGCGTCCAGCAACCCGGTCAAATAAACACGCGGGTCACACGCACATCTTTGCACGCACGTTTAGTTCTTTCCACACACCGTTCTTGGTGTTCTCAGAAGTTTACGGCAGATGTGTTTACGATTGGGTTTTCGCACCAGGGGGCATCATGGAGCCACCTAGGGCAAACCCTCGACGCTTTAAATGGTCGCGACACCCCGCCCAGATCTTCGCAGGAAGACGGGGTTGATTTGGAACAGTTTGTTATCTAAGCCCTCCTCCTCCCTTTCCTCCTCACGCACCGTGAGTCTTCGTTCAGCGGCAGGAGGACTCAGGGGGCCCTGTCGCGCAAGGCTGGATTCGATCGACTTCGGTCGCCCTTCGCAGCCGCGCTGGATTCGGCTGAGCGGGGGTCGCAAGGGGGGTCTCCGCCCACGCCCGCGGCGCCGCCCGCGTCCGGGGCGGGGTACCAGGTATTGGCGACGCGAGAAGCCCGGTCGGGCTGGCAGGGCTTTGGCGGGCGTCTCGAGGTCCTTTTACAGCGGAAAGGTGCTCCCGAGTATTCCCCGTTCTCTCGCGCTGTCGCGCAGTGTCAGTCCGTTTGGTCTGGCAGTGCCCTTTCGGACATTTGGGTCGCTGCAAGCAAACCCAGGGGTCAGTGCAAGCGCAAACAGTTCCCGCAGTACGCGGGAGTATTCCGAGTATTCCCCGTCCTATCGCGCTGTCGCGCAGTATCGGTCCACTCGGGCTGGCTGCGCCCTTTCGGACATCTGGGTCACAGCGAGCAAACCCAGGGGTCACTGCAATCAAACCCCGCAGTGCGCTGGAGTACTCCTTGGTATTCCCCGTCCTCTCGTGCCGTCGCGCAGTGTCGGTCCATTCGGGCTGGCAGTGCCCTTTGGAGCATTTGGGTCGCTGCAAGCAAACCCAGTTGCCACTGCAAGCAAACCCCGCAGTACGCTGGAGTACTCCAGAGTATTCCCCGTCTGTTTGCGCTATCGCGTGAATCTGTAGTACCTTTAGTGGACCACGGCGCCCATCAACCCTGAAGGAGGACGAGAGGCAGCGAAGTGCAGTCAAACACGCAGCCAACACGATCAGCCAACAAGAGAGCCAAAGGGGCAGCCGGAGGGGCAGCCAAGAAGGCAGCCAAAAAGGCAGCCGGGGAGGCAGCCGAGATGGCAGGCAAGATGCAGCTCAGAAAGCAGCCGGAGAGACAGACAAGAATGCAGGCGAGAGGCAGCCAAAAGGCAGCCAGAGAGAAAGCCAATAAGCCAACCAAAGGCAACGGGAAGGTATCCAGAGGCAGCCAAGAGGCAGCTGGGAAATGGCAGCCGAGAGCGCATCCAGAGAGGCAGCCAAGAAGGCAGCCGGAAAGAAAGCCAAGAAGCCAGCCAAGGGGCAGCCAAGAAGGCAGCCAAGAGGGCAGCCAGAGAGGCAGCCAGAGAGGCAGCCAAGAGGCAGCCAAGAAGACAGCTAACTGGCAGCCAAAAGGCAACCATGATGGCAGCAAAGAGACGGCCAAGGTCAGCCAAGAACGGAGTCAGACAGGCAACCAAGAAAACAGCCTGAAAACAGCCAAAGGGAGCCAAGAAGGATCCGAGAAGGCAGCCGGAGAGGCAAGAAAGAAGGCAGCCGAGAGGTTGCCAATAAGGCAGCCAAGAAGGCGGCCACAAGGCAGCCACGAAGGCAGCCGCGAAGCAGCCAAGAAGGCAGCCAAGAGGCAGCCAAGAGGCAGCCAAGAAGCAGCCAACACGCAGCCGAGGAGGCCGCCAGAGAAGAAGCCAGGAAGGCGGCCAAAAGCAGCCGTGCACTCGGGGATGCTCGTTCGGCGATTCGTTGGTAATCGCCACGGGCCGCCATGTTTCAGGAGGAAGCTTGCGGCCGGCTGGACGGCTGATGCAAGCCAACCACAGTCGCCGCTGAGTATTTGGGGGAACTCCGTCGCGCGAGGGCCAAGGATAGTCCTCCCCTTCCTCCTCTTGCCTTGATCAGCCAGCGCATTGTTTCATGCATTTCCTCGGCGTCACCCCAACATACTAATATTATGTGTGCGTCGCCCCCTGAGGGGCGACCCGCGCACCGAGAAATCATTTCGTATATACATAGTGGCCGGCGCTTTTGGGCCACGCCGCTCGGGAAACGATGCACTACAGTATGAGTATACGGATGCGCGCCTCCGAGGAGGACGTATAGTACTAGTATGTCTTTCTGCGTTCCATTTCCGCTTGCGAATGCTTGAGCTTCGTTTCTTGGCCACACGGCAGACAGTGTATGGTTTGTAAGTAAATGCGTGAGCGGTGTTCCAAGACCAAAGATTCCCAGAGACCTTTAATATTCGTGGTCGCTGAGCGGCCATGCCGAACATGGGTTTTGGATTGTTGGGGCCAGTTTTTGATTGAGCTAGCCGCATTAACCCTGAGTCCACGCAGGTACAAGGCCGGACATGTGCTCCTCGTGACGCACGGGGGCACGGCTTTCGGTATCATCCAGGCGCTGACGAGGACCCTGGGTAGCGGAGCAAAGCTGTCGTCGGGGTGGGTGGAAGTGTCAGTCAGCCAGAATGACGGTCGTCCTGACAGTCGCATGGCAAGCACAGCGAACAACAACTTTTATGTCGGGCGTGACCCCCTACAGGGGGATGTTCGACGAAAAATAAAACATACCCCAGAAATGCCCCAAAAAGGTCAAAACATATTCAAACAATAGTCCCCAGACTATTTTTGGACTATTTTTGGATTATGTTTGGGTTTTTTTGTTTCGTCGAAAATCCCCCTGTAGGGGGACAGGCCCGACTTAAAACAACTTCTCCCCTTTCCCGTTCCCTGGAAGTCGCCCAGACTGCAAGTCGAGCGTAGTGTCACGACACCGCGCAGGAAGGAGGAAGGGGAGCAATGTAAACGACGCCAACACAGGATTCATACATATACCTGGATAACACGGGGGGCAAGAGAAGGGAAGTGAAAAAGGAATTTGATGAAGGAACACGTAAACAAGGAGGACTATTGTTGTTGTAGTTGTTGGGGTCAGGAGGCAAGTGGGCGTGTCAGAAGTGTAGAGGGGTTCTGGAGGTTCAAGGGAGGGAGGCTGGGCATGGAGGAGGAAGAAGATGAGAAGAGACGGTGGTGATGATGTTGGTGATGAGAATGACGATGCTGATGATGGCGGCGATGATGATGATGATGTTGACGATGCTGATGATGCTGTTGATGATGATGACTGGGATGCAGATGATAATGCTGATGATGCTGTTGCGGATGATGGTGATGCCGCCTATGATGATGACGATGATGTTGATGTTGACGATGTTGATGCTGACGATGTTGATGTCGACGATAATGATGATGATGATGATGCTGATGATGATGATGATGATGATGATGATGATCATGATGATGATGCTAATAATGATGGTCATGATGGTGTTGATGATGATAACGATGCTGATTACGCCTTTGATGGTGATGACTATGCTGCTGATTATGCTGATGGTGATGATGATGATGCTGCTGCTGATGATGATGATGCTGCTGCTGAGGATGCTGCTGCTGCTGATGTTGCAGCTGATGATGATGATACTGATGCTGCTGATGCTGATGATGATGGTGGTGATGATGATGATGCTGATGATGATGATGCTGATGATGATGATGATGATGATGATGATAATGATGATGATGATGATGATGACGATGCTGATGACGATGCTGATGATGATGATGATGATGATGATGATGATGATGATGGTGGTGGTGATGATGATGATGATGATGATGATGATGATGATGATGATGATTGATGCGAAGGAGGACGGGGAGAAAAAGGAGGTGGAGGAGGACGAGGAAGAGCAAGAGGAGGGATGGTGCAGGAAGGAGGTGATGAGGAGGACCTGATCGGGGGGGGAGGATGAGAGGCGGGAGGAGGAGGAGGAGGAGGAGGAGGAGGAGGAGGAGGCCGAATGGTTTTGTTGGGGTGAACGCGTAAATGGTCCACACGTATCTGGAGGGGCTTTGGAAGTTCTAGGGATGGAGGGTTGGCAGGGAGGTTATGAGGAATGACAATGAGGAGGGGAGGGGGGCAGGAAGGAGCTGATGATGAACATGAGGAGGGGGAATAGGATGAGGAGGAGATGGAAGCAGGCTAGGGAAAGAGTCGAAGGAGGAGAAGGAGGAGGTGGAGGAGGAGGATCGATAGGGAGGGATGGGAGGCTTGTGGAGGGGGAGGGAGACGGGGGGGCGGAGGGGTCGATTCATGTGCCGACTCCGTGGGTGGCAACCCGATCTGCAGACGGATGTTGGTGTGTTGTCCCGTCAGGGCTATGCCATTACGCGTCGTTCTTATCGAGTGGTCCCAGGGAAGAAGAGGAGGGTGAGGAGGACGACAACGCGTGGCCCTCCTGTCCTGTCTGGTTCGCCGAGAAAGATGGCAACCACTTACCAATCCTTGAGGACGTCGTTTTCTGGTGGCGTCCGACGCCGTCCCTGGTGGACTCTTGATGCGAGGCCCAGCACCTCCCCATCCATCTCGGCGCGTGGATGGCACGAACGCTTCAGAGCGTTCCAGGGCGCTCTGTTTATTCTGGTCCTGGACCCGACTCGATAGGCTCAGGGGGCAATGCTTGGATCCCCGTAGCAAGTCCCCCCCGTCGTTGGCCCTCACTCCCGAAGCCTTCCTCCCCCCTGACACGCCGACGCTGGTGGTCCGTTTGGGGTCTCTGGGAGCGACGCAGCCCAATGCGCCCCAGCCCCGCCGCGGGGAGGAGGCCAGGGGGTGCGGAGCACACCGCTCAAAACGATCCCTCGGGAGGGGAGGAGGCGACCGAGAGTACCGCAGCGGGGGCTCGCTAGTGGTCCCAGCCCCGCACCGTCCGCCCTGCAAGGTTTCGGGCTGCGCACAGGCAGCCTCCCCCGCCAGCCCCCCCAGGCAGCCCTGGCTGGCCTCAACAGGCCCCCCGAGTTGCCCAGGGTGGTCTCAACGCCTTGGCGCCGCCTCTGGCAGCGCTCCTGGGGCGCGGAGCGCCCCAGGGTTGGGGTGTTGACACCGCCGTGGGCAGCTCAAGGGAGGGGCCTGCTGAGGCCATCCGGGACTCACCGGGGGGGGCTGGGACGGTCGGAGCTCCGCGCGGCTCCGCGGGGTTGCCTCTTATCCGTAAGGGCTTCGCCCCCTGCCGCCGGCCCCCTCTCTCGGAGAATGGGCCATGGAAGAGCCAAGTCATGAGGCCTTGGCGCTGTCGTGAAGCAGTATCGAAACTTCATGCGACGCCGAGTCGCAATCAGCAAAACCAACTGATCACAAGAGGGGTTACCACACCTGGCGATTGGTAAGACGTGTATGGTTTAAGGGCTTGGTTACCACACCTTGCGATGAAAGGGCCGAGGGAGTTCTCGCAGTTTGGGTTACCACGCCTTGCGATGGATGTGCGTGATGGGTTCGAATTTCAGAAATGTGGCAAATCCCATGTGTTTTTGGACCCTGACCCCGCGGATCTGCGTGAGGGGTGGCACCGAATTTCAGAAATGTGGCAAATCCCATGTGTTTTTGGACCCTGACCCCGCGGATCTGCGTGAGGGGTGGCACCGAATTTCAGAAATGTGGCAAATCCCTGTGTTTTTGGACCCTGACCCCGCGGATCTGCGTGAGGGGTGGCACCGAATTTCAGAAATGTGGCAAATCCCGTATGTTTTTGGACCCTGACCCCGCGGATCTGCGTGAGGGGTGGCACCGAATTTCAGAAATGTGGCAAATCCCGTGTGTTTTTGGACCCTGACCCCGCGGATCTGCGTGAGGGGTGGCACCGAATTTCAGAAATGTGGCAAATCCCGTGTGTTTTTGGACCCTGACCCCGCGGATCTGCGTGAGGGGTGGCACCGAATTTCAGAAATGTGGCAAATCCCTTGTGTTTTTGGACCCTGACCCCGCGGATCTGCGTGAGGGGTGGCACCGAATTTCAGAAATGTGGCAAATCCCATGTGTTTTTGGACCCTGACCCCGCGGATCTGCGTGAGGGGTGGCACCGAATTTCAGAAATGTGGCAAATCCCTGTGTTTTTGGACCCTGACCCCGCGGATCTGCGTGAGGGGTGTCGATTTCGAGCCCCCCCAGCAATTCAGACAACGCGCCCAGGGGACGCTGGAAAATCCTGTTTGGGCCTCCCCCCCCTCGCGCGGTCAATCAACTAGTTACAGTAACCAGCAAGAAGTCAACTAGTTACAGTAACCAGCAAGAAGCAGAACTGTAACACTGGAAACTAGAAACTACAACTGGTACAGGAGACTGCGAATCACGCGCCTCGCAGCCTGGTGGCCCCACAAGGGGGCTGGCGGATTCCAGTTACCGGTCCAGTCGGGTGTGCTGGGCTTCTGGTTGGCTCCGCGTGGTCGTGTGTGTGTGTGTGTGTGTGTGTGTGTGTGTGTGTGTGTGTGTGTGGGAGGGGGGGGGGGCACTTTGTGGTGGCAGTGCGAATTCTTTCGCTGTGCTTGCTGTGGTGTAATAACACATGCTGGGGCTCTGTTCTAAGGGAACTCAAGCTACGGGTCCAGTCGACGCTGGGGTATCGGAAAGCCGCCCATCAGATCAGGAGGCATCAGTTTGTTTGGTCTGAGACCTTTGTCAGGACATGTTATGATTGAGCTGAACAATTAGTCTCCACCTGTTTTCTCGTTTTAGCCAGATCAAGATGTCACGCCGTAGCTGTGAATAATAGTGCGACCACTTGAGCCCAATCACTGCACACGCCAATGAAGACCTGCTCTGCGGCGTGATTGCACACACGGTACACTGGACCAGCAGACAATACATTCAGAGAGCAGTCTGCCGAGCACCATGGTGACCACAATATATTTTCCAGCCTGCATTTTCAGCACAATGTTGGGCCTAAGGCGGGGGCAATGCTCTGAAGTATGCGTATAGCAAGCCTTGTTCTGTATGCGACCGTCAGCAAGGCCAGATATACATGCCGGCCGCATAGGCAGCATTGGTAGCCACCGCGCCTCGCACTCACAATCTCTGGCTTACTCCAGACTCGTCCGCCGCGCCTGGGGGACGGACAGGTTTCACGTATTTGCTGCCATTGTGTTGCGCACCTTGCAATCACACATCATCTCATTCAATCGGTGGCTGGGGGCACGATCGGCTGTGTCAAATACACGCCTCCACTTCCAAGGACTCCACCCCGTGCCTTCTGCCACTCCCTAAAATTGTATTGGTGTAGAGCGTAGAAGGGCGTCGCAATGCATCCTGCAGCATTGCTTCCCAGACACGCTGATGTAGTGTTCCGACCTTGTATGACATAGACGGGTTTGCCTCTATACAGGGCAGATGCCACAGGCCCAGGCTGTCGCGGACGCAGCCTGTCTGGCACGTCATTGGGACCACGAGGCGCAACCAGCAGTGACCAGGCGCGCAAGCGCCCCTCACCGTGCCCGTTCCCATTAGAACGAGGACTCAATCAGACCTTGGACGTCACGATCTGCTTTCCTAAGCGCGGCCCACTGGTCTCTCGACCCCCTCGCGGGGACCGGCTCTTCCTCCCCGATCGCCTTTGCGAAGGTCCCAGGGCCAGGCACGGGCGTCAGAGGCACGAGATCGACGGACGCCGCAGCATTGAGAACATGTTTACGCCTGAGGTTTGGGGAGGAGCGCATTCGGCGCCCGAGGAGAGAGGTGGTGCCCTTCAACAAGGCCGAGTGCCCAGAGATGGGCAGCGTGACGCAGGTGGCTGGCCGGTCGTCGACGGGTGGGCGGTTCACGGGGCGGCGCCGAAAGATTTATGTTTGTTCTCTTTTTCGGGCGCGGGTCAGGGGCCGTTATGCCAAGTTTTCTGTTGTTTTCGCATCTTCGGCATTCGGGGGCCACTTGCGGGCCCCAGGCTAATCAGACAACGACTGGGTCTGAACAAGCAACCGCATGGAAGTTGCTAAATGTCAAGAGCTCTGGGGGGCCAGCGGCTTGAAACACATAACGATGTCGGAGGTCTGGACTTTGGGGCCACATTTAGGTAAATTTGAGGGCGGTCCTCATGTCCCCCCCCGTATCAAGAATTTGCCTGCATTTTAGCCAGGTGTCTTAGGTTTCTTGTGTTCAAAGGCGCTGGCGGTGAGAGCCCCAGAAGGCCAGGGCTCCCGCGTCCTGAATCAATCGAAGCCTTTGGGCCTACGGGTCAGCTTTGTAGTGGATGTGTCTTTGCTGAACTTGTATGTTTGCCAGACCTCCGAAGTTGTTTTTTACCTAACAGCGAAGACTGATAGGTTTCTAATAGGGTCAAAAGAGAGCATCATGACTCCCCAGGGGGGCCTGGGCGGCATCCGGACAGGGATCCGCGGAAGTCGTTTTAATCAAACAGTTACACACTTCGTGGCCTTCGAGGTCCCAGAACTCGATTCCTGGGCATGATTTTGAATGCCCGGAGCCAACTGTAGGCCACTTCGTGTTCTTCGGGTTCTCAGAACTCCATTCCTGGGCATGATTTTGAATGCCCGGAGCCAATTGTAGGCCACTTCGTGGTCTTCGAGTTCCCAGAACTCCATTCTTGGGAATGATTTTGAATGCCCGGAGCCAACTGTAGGCCACTTCGTGGTCTTCGAGTTCCCAGACTCCACTCCATTCCTGGGCATGATTTTGAATGCCCGGAGCCAACTGTAGGCCACTTCGTGTTCTTCGAGTTCCCAGAACATCCCGGGCCACATGCTGATGCTGAGACAGGCTGAGGCTGAGGCTGAGGTTGAGGCTGAGGCAGGCTGAGGCTGAGGCCGCAGCTGATGCTGAAGGCATGAGGCTGAGGAGGCTGAGGCTGAAGGCTGAGGCTGAGGCTGAGGCAGGCTGAGGCTGAGGCTGAGGCTGAGGCTGAGGCAGGCTGAGGCTGAGGCTGAGGCAGGCTGAGGCTGAGGCCAGGCTGCAGGCTGCTGAGGCAGGCTGAGGCTGAGGCTGAGGCTGATGAGGCTGAGGCTGAGGCTGAGGCAGGCTGAGGCTGAGGCTGAGGCTGAGGCAGGCTGAGGCTGAGGCAGGCTGAGGCTGAGGCTGAGGCTGAGGCGGCAGGCTGAAGCCGAGGCTGAAAGCAGACTGAGGCTGAGGCTGAAGCAGGCTGAGGCTGAGGCTGAGGCAGGCTGAGGCTGAGGCTGAGGCAGGCTGAGGCTGAGGCTGAGGCTGATGCAGGGTGAGGCTGAGGCAGGCTGAGGCTGAGGCCGAGGCTGAAGGCAGACTGAGGCTGAGGCTGAAGCAGAGAGGCTGAGGCTGAGGCTGAGGCAGGCTGAGGCTGAGGCTGAGGCAGGCTGAGGCTGAGGCTCTGATGCTGAGGCTGAGGCTGAAGCCGACTGGCTGAGCTGCAGGCTGAGGCTGAGGCAGGCTGAGGCTGAAGGCTGAGGCTGAGGCACTGGCTGAGGCTGCAGGCTGAGGCTGAGGCAGACCTGAGGCTGAAGGCTGAGGCTGAGGCTGAGGCTGAGGCAGGCTGATGCTGAGGCAGGCTGAGGCTGAGGCTGAGGCTGATGCAGGCTGAGGCTGAGGCAGGCTGAGGCTGAGGCCGAGGCTGAAGGCAGACTGAGGCTGAGGCTGAAGCAGGCTGAGGCTGAGGCTGAGGCAGGCTGAGGCTGAGGCTGAGGCAGGCTGATGCTGAGGCAGGCTGAGGCTGAGGCTGAGGCTGATGCAGGCTGAGGCTGAGGCAGGCTGAGGCTGAGGCCGAGGCTGAAGGCAGACTGAGGCTGAGGCTGAGCAGGCTGAGGCTGAGGCTGCAGGCTGAGGCTGAGGCAGGCTGAGGCTGAAGGCTGAGGCTGAGGCAGGCTGAGGCTGAGGCTGAGGCTGAGGCCGAGGCTGAAGGCAGACTGAGGCTGAGGCTGAAGCAGGCTGAGGCTGAGGAAGAGGCAGGCTGAGGCTGAGGCTGAGGCAGGCTGATGCTGAGGCAGGCTGAGGCTGAGGCTGAGGCTGATGCAGGCTGAGGCTGAGGCAGGCTGAGGCTGAAGCCGAGGCTGAAGGCAGACTGAGGCTGAGGCTGAAGCAGGCTGAGGCTGAGGCTGAGGCAGGCTGAGGCTGAGGCTGAGGCAGGCTGAGGCTGAGGCAGGCTGAGGCTGAGGCTGTGACTGCGACTGTCGTTGCCACTGCGACTGTCATCGCGAATGCGACTGCGACTGCGAGAACAGCAGAATTCTACAACTGGATTCTCATCTGAATCTTAAGGGGAATGCTTCCAGATATGCTCCTACACATCGCTGTTAGGGTGCTTTGCCGGGATAAGTTTCTCCATGCGCGGCCTCCAGACTTCTCTACTCCTTCCCCCGGCGCCAGTTGTCCAGCCTGGGTTGTTTTTGAAGGTCCTGGGGTACCGATGCGGGCCTTCAGAAGCCCAGAAGTTAGAGGGAGGTCAGAGAGAGAGAGAGAGAGAGAGCGTGTTCTGATTACGCTTCTCTCTTGCACAATCCCAACCTCCCCCGCTCGGGACCCGGCCGGCCCCCCCCCCGCCCACCCTCGAAAATCTCCCCCATCCTTTCCAGAACCTCCGTCCCTCCCCTGTGAGAGCCCCGCCCCATCCTTCGCCCCCTCCCCCTCCGAAAATACGATGGGAAGGGTTTCAACTTCACCCACCACCCCTCGCCGCATTGTCGTCGTCTTCGTCCTTTGCCGGCGCCAGACGTCATTCGGGCAGGCGGGCGAGACACGTTGTCGACGTCTTCGTCTTCCAGTCTGTCGGGCGGGCGGGCGGGACACGACGTCGTCGTCGCCATCGTTGTTGTCGACGTAGTCGTCGTAGTCGTAGTCGTTGTCGTTGTCGTCGTCGTCGTCGTCGTCGTCGTCGTCGTCGTCGTCGTCGTCGTCTTTGTCCTTTGCCAGCGAGGGGGTCGGTCGGGCGGGCGGGACACGTCATTGTCGTGGGCAGTCGGGCGGGCTAGACACGTCGTCGTTGTCGTCGTCGTCCTCGCCGTCGCCCTCGCCGTCGACCTCGTCGTCGACCTCGTCGTTGGCGTTGGCGTCGGCGTCGGCGTCGGCGTCGTCGCCGCTGTCGTCGGCGAGTCGGTCGGTCGGGCAGGCGGGCGGCATAAGTCAGCGACGTCATTGTTGGCGAGTCGGTCGGGCGGACGGGCGCCACGTCGTCGTTGTTGTCGCCGTCGCGGTCGGGTCCTTGTCGTCGTCGGCGTCGGCGCCAGCGTCGTCGTCGTCGTCTTCGTCGTCGTCGTCATATTTTGTCGGCGCCAGGGAGGGAGCGCCTGCGCCCGTGGGGTGGGGTTGAACCTTTTTTGATCTTCATTTTGGACTGGTGGGGGGAGGAGTTTCGAACCCCCCTCTCGATTTTGGAGGGGGGGCCCCTGACCTCCTCCCAGCGAGTTCAGAAGACTCGTCCAGAAATCACGAGGACGGAGGCAGGTCGGGGTTGAACATCTGCTCAAATCTACCCCTGGACTTCTGATAGGGGTACTTCTTGGCGAGGATTTCGGGGGGAATCCAGGGCAGTGGCCACGAGGACACCCCAAGGGCCCAACAAGTTAGAGAACGCCTTCCATGCATTCAAATTCTGACGGTATTCCAGAGCCGTGGCCATTGGACATCCTGGCGGGCTCAGCGAAAGCCAGGAAGCGCTCAGTGACCTCAGTCCTGCATCGTCGATCCTTTGGGCCGTGGCTGTCTCCCTTCCCTCACTAGAGTTCCAAGGGGAGTGCAGGGCCGTGGTTGCGAAGACACTCCCATGGGCTCAACAAAAAACAGAAGACGCTCCAGAGTTTCGATCCCAGACAGAGTGCCAGAAATCGCACAGGAATCATCAGAGAGCGTAGGGAAAGCGTCCAGGAATTTGCCTCCGATAACAAGTGAACGTTTGATTATGTCCAGGGAGCTGTCCCAAAGAACCAGAACACGTCGGAAGACATATCAAAGCCGTACAAAAACCTCAATCCTGGATCGTCCATCCCGTGGGTCTCCCCTTCCCGCTTTCACTGCGGCGAGCTGGAACTCTGACGTAGGCGAGCGCGGCGCCGTGACGGCTAGAGGAGAGAGGATGAGCCTCCTTCTCCACCTCCTCCTCTTCCTCCTCCCCTGCGCCTCCTCTCCCTCCTCCTCCTTCTCCTCCTTCTCCTCCTCCTCGTCCTCCTCATCGTAGAGCGCTCCCAGGCGTAATGAGAGGAGCGAGGTGGAGGATGTGGACACGGAGGGAGGGTGGGGGGAGGAGGAAGGGAGGGAGGAGGAAGGAAGGGAGGGAGGGATGAGGTTGCAGGGAGGGATGAGGTTGTATGGATTAGCTTCCACCCGAGGTGGAAGAGGTCGACGGCAGGTGGCGGGTCGCCTGGTGCCTAGTCTGCGGCCCCGGGCGCTTGCCGGCCCCGATCGCGTGATCTCTAGAGGCAGGCTGAGGAGTGAGCAGGGAGGAGGAGGAGGAGGAGTGGAGGAGGAGTGGAGGAGGAGGAGGAGGAGCAGGAGAACGACGACGTCAAACAGGGGCTGGCAGGGGCGATGAGGATGATGAGCAAGCGGGCAAGGCAAGGCGAATATCGGATTAGGGCGGCCCTCGACAACGACGAAGACGACGAAGATGCCTCCTCGCTCCTCCTCGCGCCTCCTCTTTCTCATGTTCCTTCCCCAAAGGCCCGATCCTCTTTCTGACCCTCTCCATCTTGCTCGCTCCCCGGAACTGCTCCTCGTGTGGGAGGATGGAGGGAGAGGGAGGGAGGAGGAGGACCATTGTACTCCCAAGACGCATCAACGATGTGGCAATACACCCTCCCTTCAAGCTCCCTCTTCACAGGTCCCTAGAAAGATAGATTGCGAGGGCCTAACGACTTGGGCCGCCGACCCTGAAGGCGAGACCTCCCCCAGGACTCCGCTGGCGACCTCCCCACCCGCGACCCTGCCAGACCGACCCCTGGGGAGTGGGTATTCTGACCCGGGACCCCGCCCCCCCCCCCACAGCCCCCTCCATGGCAGGGAAGGACAGTTGTCCTTGCTCTTCAATTTCCGCGGGACTGGCGACGACGATCACGACGACAGCGTCTCTCACACGCCGAAGGGTCGGGTGGTTTCTGTTGCGAGAAGTGCCTTGTTGACCGCAACCCATTCCTGGGACGTCAACGCCGCGAGTCGACGTGACGATTACGTCCTGACAGACCTAAATCCTGACAGAACGCCATTCTCTGGAATTTGAACACTGCGAACCAATGCCGTTGTGTTCTGACAGATATACACCACTTTTGAATACCATTCCTGGGACTTCTGCCATTTCAAACCTGGAAGCTGTTTCACTCTGTTGCGCATGTTTGAGACCAATGTGCGCGACGCTGAGGCGAGAGCCACATTCTGAAAATGGGCCGCCCTCTATCCTAGACGCCGTTGCAGCCTAGAGACCATTGTGCGCGGTGCGAAAGCGAGAGCTTCCGTTAGCACATTGGCCACCCTCATCCTCGAAGTGGTTGCATATTGTAAGTCGAATGTGCGCATCGCAGAAGCGAGGTCCACATGTTGACAACGGGCCGTACACCATCCTTGAAGCTATTGCAAACTTTGAATGCAAGTGTGCGCAGTGCTAAGGCAAGATCCACATGTTAAAGCTGGGCCCTCCTCCATCCTTGAAGCTGTTGCAAACTTTGAGAACTAACTGTGCGCGGCGCTAAAACCATATCCACATTCTGCAAGCGCGGGCCGCTCTCCATTCATGAAGCTGCTGCACTTTTCAAGCTCCAGAACCATGGATGGTGCGGAAGTCTCAGGCGAAACGCCCATCCCGCCCAAATTACGGACACGCCTGGGGGCACAACAGGGAGGAGTTATTTAGATTGAAAGGCGATGGATGATGATGATGATGATGATGACGAGGAGGAGGATGTGGAGGAGGAGGAATAGGAGCAGCAGGGGAGGAGGAGGAGGAGGAGGAGGAGGAGGAGGAGGACCAGGACGAGGACGAGGACGAGGTGGAGGTGGAGGAGGAGGGGAGGTGGAGGAAGGAGGTACAGGAGGAGAAGGAGGAAGAAGGACGAGGAGGAGGGAGGACGAGGAGGAGAGGAGAGGAGGAGGTGAGAGGTGGGGAGGGGAGGAGGAGGAGGGAGGAGTGACAGGAGGGACGAGGAGGGAGAGGGGACGACCATGAACGAGTATGAGCGAACAGGGGGTCCCAGGCAGAGGGAGGAGGGAGGGGGGAGCTGGAGGAGGCCGCCTCTGCCCCCCCTCCCCCGCACTTCCATCCTGCCGCCCTCCCCCCCTTCTGCCCTTCGCCCCCCTGCCCCCCCTGCCCTCCGCCCTCCCCTCCCACCTCGTCCCGCCCTCTCCGCTGGGCTCCGACTGTGGCCGTGGCGGGGCACGGTCGGACCGAGGTATCGGTTTGAGGTCGGTTCGTGGAGGGTAGCCTGATGTTCTTCATGTTTGTTGCATGTTCTTGTGCATCCCCAGCATGGTATATACACTCGAGTGATCCTATGGTTCGGGGTGTTTTGGCCTGCGGAGGGTCTCATGTTTTTGGAGGGTATTATTCTGCCCTAGGTCCGTGCGTACCCAAGGCGCGCAGGACGTGGCAACGGCTCTCCTGTGCCGTGCTCGGGGCCGAGCTCCCCCCCCGAGGGGACGAACTCTCATCCCTCAAGGCTTGGCGACTTTTCGCCAGTTGACCTGCGGAGAGCAAGCCAGATAGATCTAGATACATCCAGGTGAATCCATGTGCAGCCAAATACATCGAGGTAAGTCCATAGATCTCCAGGGATATGTGGAGTAAATCGTGGACGCTCCAGCGCGAGTCGAGGGCCGAGGGACAGCAGAAGGCGTTAGCCTCTGGACGATGTCAAGAGGAGGAGGAGGAGGAGGAGGAGGAGGAGGAGGAGGAGGAGGAGGAGGAGGAGAGGATGCAGCGAACCCAGCCTCCGCCTCCCGCACCCCTCCCTGCCGAGGCCGGCAGCACGTTCCCGGCCGCCGCTGCGGGCGGCGGTTGGGAGTGCCGCTGGGAGTGCCGCGCGTCCGGCGGGGCAGACCGGGGGAGCAGCGATTGGGTCTGCCCGCCCGCGCGGCCCCCCATCCCCTGCGGGCCGGAGTGGTGCCAGGGTCGGGTCGGACGACATGGGGGGATAACCTCAGGAGGTCTCTGGAGTTGCTCCCCGCACGCCCCCTGTTTCTCTCGGCGGTGGAAAAAACTGGTCCCTTCTCCTCCTCTTCCTCCTCCTCCTCCTCCTCCTCCTCCTCCTCCTCGTAACTCAGGCCGTCCTCTTCTGGTGAAACGATGAGGCATCCAGCACCCAGAAGCTTTATCCTGGCATCGTGAGGAGAAGGTACTGCTAGTCAAAGGTTTCGGTCGCGGGGGGCCAGGGAATACTGATTTTTGCCTGCGGTGCTAAAGATATCACTGTGCTAAATCCGCCCCGCGAATTATTGCTTTTCGTTTCAGTGCTAACGATCACCCAGGGGGGGTCCTTAATTGCTTCCCCGGGTTAGTCCTCCTCGTCGTTGTTGCGCGGCGGGTGCCGCGGAGAAATATTTATGTTCCACTAGTTGTGGGGCCCGCGTCGAAATAAGAATTAGTTTCCGCTATGGCAGGGGTCTAAAGGCTTGGTAGGTATAAGACCGAGGTCGGTTCGGGGAGGGTACTCTAATGTTCGTTGGGTCGGACGGAAGGGGGGACGGGGAAAGGGAGGGGTACGAAATCATGCAGCTGGTTTCGGCCACCCCGCCAGGCGCTCTCCTCGATACATTTGCGCCTCCGCCGCCAGGAGGCGCCGGGGAAATCAGCTGCGTGAGCTGATTCGCTAATCACCCCTTTTCTATCCCCCCCTTTCGTCCGACCCGATTGTGCATCCTGGTGGAGGCCACCCTCGAATGTTTTTCAGTTTGGCAGGCGGAGGGTCTCAGGCTCTTGAAGGATGCTCTTCTGCCCTGTGTCCGGCCGTGGGCCACGGGGGGGCAGAGGAGGTACGACGTCTGCTGCACGCAGCTGGTGTCGGCTCCGCCGCCAGGCGCCTTCCTCGATGCATGGGCACCGCTGACGCTGGGAGGCGCCGGAGAAACCGGCCGCGTGAGCCGATTCGCAGACTCGCCCGCTGACCTCCTCCTCCTCCTCCTCCTCCTCCTCCTCCTCCTCCTCCTCCTCCTCCTCCTCCTCCTCCTCCTCCTCCTCCTCCTCCCTCCTCCTGGAGTGGCGCCGCACGGGGGCCAGGGGCCACGTCGGGGGGATCGACCCCCAATCGCCCATGGATCGCCGAGGGGGGGCCCGATGGTCCACCCCACCCAGGACCTCAGGAGCGTGGGGTTCTGCTGTCGTGGACCTGTCGCCGAGGTCTGCACGGGTGCGCGTTGGCCTCGCGGTGCCCTCGTGATTCCACGATTCGGCCCGGCCAGAATGGACATCCGAAGCACTGGGTTGCGGGTTCGGGTCTGGGTCTCTTCTCGGCGCCACAGGTATCCCACGTCGCCAGATGTGGCTAGATGATGGGGTCGGGGAGAGATAATCACATCTCCTGGAGTGCCCGTCAGGGGAGGGACTGCATAATGTGAACAATTTCGGCCTCCTGAGAATCTCCCCAAGGTGTTATTCACCACCTCTTCTTTTGTTCAAGAGGCTTACGCCATTGCGCCGACCTCCAGGAGGAGCAAAGTCGCGACACTTGATTGGACGGTGCGGTTGCGACTGCATCATAGTCAGGGGGGCCTCTTTGTGGTCCGGGGTTTCCGGGTGCACTTCTCGGGGGCGTTTATATGTGAACATCGTTCACGAGTGTACGGGGTCGGGAAAGGGGGGGTCTCCTTGGGAAAGGATTTTGCAGATCTTTGTGGGGGCTTCGTGGAACCGGGAAATCTCGGTACCCTCTTGATCATCTTGGGACTATTCGGGGCCTCTTTGGGCTCTCTGGGAATCTCTCGGGGGCCACTGTCGGGGCCTCTTTGGGGGCATGTTGGGAACCTGGTGGGCCATCTGGGGGGGTGAACTCGTGGAGCTCTTTCGAGCTCATCATCTGAAGGCCCTCTGGGGGCCTTCTTGGGGGCTTCTTTGGCCGTCTTGGCCGCTTCGGCCGTCTTGGGCCGCCTTGGGGCCCTCAGGAGCCGTCTTTGGTCAGTCTACCAGCCTGTTGGGACGTCTTGAGCTTTCCGAAGCCTGGAGGTGAGAGAACACATTCATCTTTCAAAAGCGTATGGAACACCAATGCTTGTTGCCTCTGGAGGCTCTCTGCGGGTTCTCATTATATTCTCTTGGGGCGTGGAGCCTTTTAGGCCGTTTTGAGGCCATCTTGGGTCTGCTGCAGGGCTCTTCGGAGTGTTGGAGGCTTTCTTGAGCGTCTTGGAAGGTATCTAAGGCACAATTCAGGCGTTGCAGGTTGCATTTGGAGGCCACGGGAGACCACCCTCAATCTGGAGCTTGAACCCTGGGGGAAGGGGAGCCCAGGGGGAGGGGGGCGGCCAAATGACACGCATTTCCATCCCAGCCCAGCGAGTGTCGGCGGACATTTCCATGGCTAATGGCTCACCAGGGATGTCCTCAGAGGTCCAGAGCAGTTCACTGTGTTTGTTCACCGATATCGTCTGTCCTAGATGGAGGCAGGGATCAGGGAGAGCGGAGTGGAGAGAGAGACGGGGAGGGGCCTCTTCGCCCCTTTTTATTTCTCATTTCGCCCCATCCACGCATCTCGGGAAACAGTTCGACGACCTCCGGGAGGTGTTGGCGGTCCCAGGAGGCCCGCAGGCCCCGAAAGTCATTCGAGGCCTCACGAGGTCTAACAGGAAGAGTGGCACCTGCGGACAGCATCGTGGACTCAGTCGCGGTGGACATCGTGGTACTTCTCGACGCCGCAGTGCTGCATAGCGATGTAGTGCTCAAGGACGTCGTGGACACCATGCTAAGCTATTGGGTGATGATCTTTAGTTTAGAAAAGAATCGGAGGACAAAAACCTCGATCTTCAAGGGGGTTTGACCACAATCCGTCCAAAGTTGATTACCAGAGCCATCCCGGGGCCTATCTTGGCCGTGGCTGCTAGAAATTTTAGAGATGTTTTCAAACATCCCCGAAACGAAGACGTCGATACTCGATCCTCAACCTCTGAGCCTCCGACGTCAAGCCAACCCCCAGACCCCTCCCAGGGCCCACACTGGTCAGTGTTTCGTCTCAGGCCTGAGGTGGGCATCTCAGGTCGAACATCGAGCAAATCCCTGTCCTCGGGTTCCCCGGGCGGTGCGGTGACCACACCGTGTGGTGAGTCATGGTGGATCCGGGTGACCGCAGGATTTTGGCTCTGGGTTCGTCTCCGCAAGTGTCCAGGGCGACTGGGGCCTCCAGGGTCCCAGAACTGCGCGGTGACGCGCCGCGCGGTGACGGACCCGTTTGGGGGGATTCCGAGGTCACCGCGCGGTCTGTCACCGCACCGTTTTGGGGCCCCCGAGATCCTCGTCATGCAGGGGAGCGGGGGCCCGGGGCGCGGCACGGGCGTGCGCTCTGGCTGCTCCCCGTCAGACGCGGCCAAGCTCTGACAGCGAGTGGCGTCGACGACCGCCCGCAGCCCGCCTGCGTGCGGGCCCGGCGCTGGTCGGCCCAAACAGCGCTGGGCGGGCATCTTCTTCGACGGGGGAGGAGGAGGAGGAGAAGGAGGAGGAGGAGGAGGAGGAGGAGGAGGAGGAGGAGGAGGAGGAGGAGGAGGAGGAGGAGGAGTAAGGGAGTAGGAGGAGGAGGAGTGAGGAGTTAGTAGTAGTAGTAGTAGTAGTAGTAGTAGGAGGAGGAGGAGGAGGAGGAGGAGCAGTATGGATGGAGGAGGTGGAGAAGTGTTGAGTGAGGGGCGAGGAGTGAAGAGTGAGGAGTGATGATGATGATGATGGATGATGATGATGATGATGATGATGATGATGATGATGATGATGATGATGATGATGATGATGATGATGCTGCTGCTGCTGCTGCTGCTGCTGCTGCTGCTGCTGCTGCTGCTGCTGCTGCTGATGATGATGATGATGATGATGATGATGATGACGATGATGATGATGATGATGACGATGATGATGATGATGATGATGATGGTGATGGTGATGGTGATGGTGATGGTGATGATGATGATGATGATGATGCTGATGATGATGATGATGATGATGATGATGATGATGATGATGATGATGCTGATGATGCTGCTGCTGCTGCTGATGATGATGATGCTGATGATGATGATGATGATAATGATGATGATGATGATGATGATGATGATAATGAGGATGAGGATGAGGATGAGGATGAGGATGAGGATGAGGACGAGGATGGAGAGGAGGAGGTGGAGGAGGAGGAGGAGGAGGAGGAGGATGCGAGGGAGGAGGAGGAGAGTGGAGGGAGGGAGGGAGGCGGAGGAGAAGAATCGGATCCTTGACAATGTCAGATTTATTGTGAGCAACGCCCCCCGACCTGGAAGACCCGCAGGAGGAAAAGGAACACGAAGTGCCTGAATTGGAGGAACAGTTTCACGGAGACTGCATGCCACCATAGTCGAAACCGTAGCGCTCGTTTGACTGCAATACTCAGTTCCACCATCAATTGCAGGACGTTGCATTCCATTTCACAGCACCACCAGTTGGAGAATGTCACTGACGATAGTCCTTCACCTTAAGGATTAAGCGACTAATCTCATGTCCTTCGGAACCTTTCCGCACAGGAAGACGGCTCCCAGAACGTAACATGAATTGTGTGAGACGCTCCGCTGGCAGGATACAAGGTGAAGGGTGAAGCCCATGCAGAAAGCCTAGGCATGTGCTAGAACGCGGCGCCACATCCACATCGTGAAAATCACCTCTCAGATTACCAACGGACGCAACTCTCACCACACACCACAGTCTAAAGTGGTACTATGCACGGTACTGAACACTTTGAATCGATTTGACCAAGCACATTGAGGATGATTGCCTCACTCTTTGAAGCCCGTTGTTGCCAGCAGCCAGTTGCACCACGCCGCTAGAAAACATATTGTAATACCCTCCTCTGGTGGACATGGGAGATGCTTGCCTTGAAACGGATGATGTAAGACCCAGCTGGACGCCCAAAAGAACACAAGATGTATACCCGCATGTGGCTGTGTTAGAATGCCAAACATAAGCATGCAACAAGCCCCAGAGCATTGAAACCGCAGACGCGTACACCAATACAATTAGGGGGCCTCCTGTAGATGTGTAACGCCGGAACCAGCACATGTAGGACACGACGAAAAACAACTACCAGACCACACCGGATCGAATTCTGTACAGCAAACACGGCCAAGTTTCCAGGTTTGTGGGCCACGCTCCAAAAGTGAACGTGCTAACAGCCCTGCCTGCCATGATACCTTGAACAAGATGTTCGGGAGATGTGCAGTCAACCGCCATTAGAGAATTCATACGCTGTGAGAGTGAAGCTCCCGCCACTGCGTCTATTGTTACGCAAACAAGAACTAAGCAATGCCCATGCTGAACATTATACTTTCGCCCGCCCTAGCCTAGTAATTGACTGAGGGGGCGGAAGCGGCCCCCATGTTTTAAACATCCAAGTTCGGAACACGTTTGAGGCCAATGTTGTTAGACAGTTCAAGTTCAAAGTTGCGATGACCCTGGAGTCCAGAGAAAGTTCGGACACAGTTCGGCGGCGATTGTTTTCGGTCTTCACCTGAATGTTCGAACTCGTTTCGAACTCTTGCTTTTCTTCGTTTCCGAACTCGAACTTCTAACTTTCCTCCTGCCCGAACCGAAGCCCTAACTTTCATTGTTTTCCAGGAAAGCCCCTCTCCCCCCTCACCAGCCAAACATCCCACGACAAAGGCCACGGAGAAATGTGACAAGCAATACGGCTGATTATTTGGTGGGAGGCCCCCCAAGCGCCAATGAGAAGGCAATGCGTCGGGAGCCCCATGGCAAGCTCGAGCCCCAAAGGGTACGATGCCTTGGGCCACCCATGTTTGAGAGGAGGAGGAGGAGGAGGAGGAGGAGGAGGAGGAGGAGGAGGAGGAGGAGGGGGAGGGGGAGGGGGAGGAGGAGGAGGAGGAGGAGGAGCAGAAGGGGCAGGAGGAAGAGGAGGAGGAGTGAGGAGCGAGGAGTAAGTAAGAGGGAGGCGGGCATATGGAGGAGAAGGAGCAGCAGGAGGAGGGGAAGGATGAGGAGAAGGAGGACCTTGCGCGAGCGCGCCAGCAGGATGAGGAGGAGGGCACAGAAGGAGTGCGTACTTTTCGCGCAGAGGTCTTTGACGTGCTGGCGCGGCGGCGAAAGCGGTCTGATCTTGGAAGCGCAGCCCGCATCTGAGCCGCGATCGGAGGTTTGTGCGCGAACTGGTGAGAGACGACCCCAGAGGGACCCCTGATCCTCCGGGGCGCCGGAAGTGCCCCGCGGCCTGCGGCAAACCCCCCGCCACCGTGCCTCTTCAACAGCGCAACAGGACGGAGCTTGAGTGTAAAAACAGCACAATTCTTTACGCTTCGCGTATCCCCACCAGCCCATCTCACAGCAGCAACTCTCGCGAAGCATGCCGACAGTCGTGTTTTTCAGGCGTGTGTCCGCTGGGCTCCGCATATCTCCCCTGCTCCTCCTTCCTCCCGCCTCCTTGTCTATCCTCCTTGTGAGGTGAGGCGTTCGGGCACCTCGTCCGCGTGCGAGGTGATCGGGGTCTTCGCAGGTGGAGTCGTAGTAGTCGTAGTAGTAGTAGTAGTAGTAGTAGTAGTAGTAGTAGTAGTAGTAGTAGTAGTAGTAGTAGTAGTAGTAGTAGTAGTAGTAGTAGTAGTAGTAGTAGTAGTAGTAGTAGTAGTAGTAGTAGTAGTAGTAGTAGTAGTAGTAGTAGTAGTAGTAGTAGTAGTAGTAGTAGTAGTAGTAGTAGTAGTAGTAGTAGTAGTGGGAGTACTGGTGGTGGTAGTAGTCGTGGTTAGTAAGTAGTAGTAGTAGTAGTAGTAGTAGTAGTAGTAGTAGTAGTAGTAGTAGTAGTAGTAGTAGCAGTAGTGGAGTCGTAGTCGTAATAGTAGTAGTCGTAGGAGTAGAAGTAGTAGTGGATGTCTTTTGGTCGGAGGCCTCTGAGGGCGTCTTCGGCGCCTCTTGGGGCCGCTTGGAGACATCTTGGGGGCATCTTGGGGCCCTCCTGGGGACCTCTTGGGGCCATCTTGGGGCCTCTTCGTGCTTTCTGGGCGCTTCTTGGGGCCATCTTGGAGGGAAGGGATCAAAGAAGAGGGGAGTTTCAATGAGCGCTGCCCCCCCAGAAGGGCAAAAGGAGCCCCAAACCTTCGGAGAATCAATGATTTGGCGTTGAAGAAAGAGAGGATCTTTCATGAGCGCAGCCCCCTGAGAAGGGCCAAAGGGGGCGAAAACCGTAGTACAATCGATGATTCTTGCTTCACGGAAGAGGTAGTAGTAGTAGTAGTAGTAGTAGTAGTAGTAGTAGTAGTAGTAGTAGTAGTAGTAGTAGCAGTAGTAGTAGTAGTAGTAGTAGTAGAAGTAGTAGTAGTAGTAGTAGTAGTAGTAGTAGTAGTAGTAGTAGTAGTAGTAGTAGTAGTAGTAGTAGTAGTAGTAGTAGTAGTAGTAGTAGTAGTAGTAGTAGTAGTAGTAGTAGTAGTAGTAGTAGTAGTAGTAGTAGTAGTAGTAGTAGTAGTAGTAGTAGTAGTAGTAGTAGTAGTAGTAGTAGTAGTAGTAGTCGTAGTAGTAGTAGTGTAGTAGTAGTAGTGGCCGTACCACCATGCGTAGAAGTAGTAGTAGTAGAGGTAGAAGTAGTAGTAGTGTGAGTCGTTCGGGGCCCGCGTCGTGGTGTGAGTCGTTCGGGCTCCTCGTGGTGTGAGTCGTTCGGGCGCCTCGTCCTGGTGTGAGTCGTTCGGGCCCCTCCTTGTGGTGTGAGTCGTTCGGGCTCTTCGTGGTGTGAGTCGTTCGGGCCCCTCGTCCTGGTGTGAGTCGTTCGGGCTCCTCGTGGGGCCTCTTGGGGGCCTCTTGGAGCCTCTTGGGGCCTCTTGGGGGCCTCTTGGGGGCCTCTTGGGGGCCTCTTGGGGGCCTCTTGGGGCCTCTTGGGGCCTCTTGGGGGCCTCTTGGGGGCCTCTTGGGGGCCTCTTGGGGGCCGCTTGGGGGCCTCTGGGGGGTCTCTCGGAGGCCTCTTGGGAGCCTCCTGGGGGCCTCTTGGGGACATCTTGGGGCCTCTTGCGACCTCCTCAGAAGCGCAAAGAAGAGCTGCCCCCTGAGAAGGACAAAATGAGGCCAAAACCTTCGTAAAATCAATGATTTTGCTATGAAGGACGATGAGCGCTGCCCCCTCAGAAGTCCAAAATGGGGCCAAAACCCTAGTAAAATCAATGTTTTTGGCTTCACAGAAGATGAGAGGGACTTATCTCCGCCCCCCCGTCGGGGCCAGAGTCCTCGTGAGGGTCGTCGTTTTTTTGCCCTCCCAGGAGTCGAAATTGACCCCCCTGACGACCCGCGGGACCCCCTCTCCAGGCCCAGGGGGAGGGGGTAGGGGGAGGGGTAAACCTTTCCCCGAAGGGGAAGAAGGGGGGTTGAGGACAGAGAGAGCTCGCTAAACCACTCACGCCCAAAGGGCTGGTGGGATTCCGACGACTGGTCTTAACTGGGGTGAGTCGTGAACTCGACCAGGATCCATCTAGATAGTGCTTCATTCCATATAGAGTGTTGGCGGCCCCGGCTCCGCAACGGACCTCGAGGTTGCTGATTGTTGGCTTTAGAGGCTTGTGCCATTCCGCCGACGAGGGATGAAGTCCACTGGTGAGGCTTTTTGCGCCTCCTGGGGGCCCTCTGGGGGCATCTATTGGGCCTCTTGGGGGCCTCTCCGAGCCTCTTGGGAGTTGCGCCTGCCAGCGGTCTCGAGGGTCCTCTTGCGGCGGAGGGCTAGGAATGTCAGTTCGAGTTGTCCCTCTTGGGCCCCTCTTGGGGCCCTGTTGGGGCTCCGTTGGGCCGTCTTGGGCGCGCCTTGGGCAGTCTTGGGACCCTCTTCTGTCGTCTTGGGGCCCCATTAGGGGTTTCGTGGTTCGTCTTTGAGCGATCTTGGGGCATCTTCAGCCGTCTTGGACGCTGTTCAGTCAAAAAATGCGAATATGCTCAGAACACGCGCTTTCCCCATGGATTTGGACGATGTTCGCTTCTTCGGGCCATCTCG